TTGCTTTGAGCGCTTTTATTTCTTGATTCCATTAAACCTCTTTATAATTTGGACAAATCCATTTATAGTTCTTCTTGCTTTAAATCAGCAGTGCAAACTAGAGGCATGCAAACAGCCTAATGAAATGCACCTGTCTGGTATTATATCATGCATTCCTAGTCACAGGTACAATCACAGCAGAGTAAGAAATAGTGTGTGCACTTTAAGAATTGGGTATGATCTAAGACAGGATAGTCATGGCAGGATTGATAATTGCTACTGGAGGCAATAGCTTGCTGCTTTAATATTTGCTTCACCAGATGTTTAAGGTTTGTTTTGCGCTGGAATAATTTTCCTGCCTGAAGTTATTTGTGTCTCAAAAAAAAAAAAAAGAAATCATCAAAATGGGGCTTCAGGCACCAGAAAAGAGCTGATAGATGATGAAGATTTGCAGTATAATTCTTGGCACATTTAAATTATACCATTTGGAAGAAAGATTGTTAGTACATTAGGTTTAAAATAAGAAGCTTCAGTGAAAGATGCTTGACCTGCAATGGCCAGAGCAGCAGTCTCATTTCAGGTTATGGAAATATGTAACTACCTGGTCAGTGCTATTGATAGGTGTGTATTCAATCTTGCAGTACAGATTTTGCTTCTTTATATGCAATTTCAGAGACTCAAGTGTGAGACAACCCCATCCACAGCATCAGCATGCCCTTTCTAATAGCCATTAATTTCTCCATTGTTACTGAAACCATTTTTAGACTGCAATTTCAAGATGGAGACTTCTGTGACTAAGTACTCTAACAAAGATAGCATATGTCTTTCAGAAAGAAAGCAACATTGACAACAAAAAAGTGACACCTACATGTTAGTTTTTATAATTGTAAATTTTGGGAGCAGCTCCTGCAGTTCTAGTTATGTGCATAGTTACAAAGAATTCTGTTAAACACAGACTTAATTTTAAACAGTAGTTAACATTCTTCTTGAAACATAAAACTTGGTGCTCTGCCAGCGGAAAAGATGTCTCAAAGCAGAATTTCTCTTATTACAGCCAAAGCAAGTGCCAGATGTAATCACAGTACGTAGAGGCTCAGTTATTGCCAGTAGCATTCAGATCATTGATAGCTCATGTCTGGCATGCTTCTTCCAGTTGTGGGCCTGTATTGGAAGCATCAGGGGAGTCACACGGTTAGCCATCTCTTTTGATAGTGCATTGTAATTTGAACCTTCGTAAAATCAGGTCACATTAAGGACTGAGGGTAGTAAGTTTTGTATAAGGAACGGAGTAAATGGCTGTTTGTATTTCTAAGGTCTCTCCTCCTCACCCTTCCCATTCATTCCACCCAGTGCGCCGCTCCAAAGCTGCAGATGAGGAAAGAAGCCACAAAGCACGCAGGGCCCGGGATGAATACCGACGACAATCTTTGCGTGCCATCCAGAAGGGAAGAGTGGCTGGCCTGAGTAATTTGTTCCAGGGGACAAGCATGAATAACGACCAGGAGACGAAACTGAACAGCAATAGTGCAAGTCCTTTGCTGTCTCCTGCAGCATCCAGGTTGGTTTGTATAGGAGTGACTTTGAAACAGTTTTCTGTTGAATTGCTCCCTCTCCAATCCCCACCATTTCAACAAGCTCTTCTTCAATTGCTGGAAATTCTCAGCATCTTGCTCTTTCACTATGACCAGAAAAAAGAATGTTTAAAGAAAAATAGAAACAGATTGGATACGTAATGTAAACTAAATGCCGTTTATTTTTTAGACAGATTTCTTAGAGTTCACATGGAGAGAGATGGGTCCTTCAATAGTCAGTATTAGATTAGTATGCAAGGCTGCGATACGGAAAAGTCAAATGGTCAAATTCTTAGGCAAGCCTTAAGCCTCAAGCCTAAAACTGCTTGCTGCTTAACAGCTCTTTGAAACATTTTACAGAAAGTTGTCATAATCCTACGTTTCAGTGGTTTGAAGGTTTTTTTCAGGCAAAATTATGTGTCTTTGGTGTTTATTAATCTTTCATCTGACTATTTAGAGAGCGCCATGAATTGCAGAGGAGGGAAAGAATCCAAACTGACAGATGGGCGCTAGAAAGTTGACTAGTCACTCTACTATTTTCCTGGTTTTTTTCTTACACCATTAATTCAGTTTCATGCGGTGATAAAGGCAATGTGAGTACTAGAAGGATGGTAGCATTAAATGCTGAAAAAAAAAAAAAAAATCTCTATGACCAATATCCAGGCTTAGAAAGGAAAAAGTCCCATTACATTGTTCTGCTTTACCAGTCAGTGTAGGACCAGAGAGAATCAGTTCCTCATTGTCTGGAAATGTGGTCTGCTTTGACAAGTTCTTTGCTCTACTGTGTCAAGACACACAAACCCTCTAGTAACAGCAGCCAAAACTCCCAGTTTGAGGAAGAATCAGAATTTCACTCTCAGACAGAGTAGGATCTTTAAAGTTACCATGAAATCAACTTGTCAAAGGAATTATCTCATTATTTTTCTAAACTACTTAAAGTCTTCTTCAAATTCAAGTAATTTGAAGTAAGACTTCAAGTAACAAAAACACTACTAGAAGTGGCAGATTTTGAAAAAGATGGTCCATAACTTTGACCTGAATTCTGAGCTTCTGAGGTGAGGTTATTTACTAAAGAATTTGGTGGCACTAGATGTGTTCCTTTTCAAAAAGGGCCTGGAAAAAAGCTGAAAAATATTCTGATCATTATCCAGCTCATGTTCAATCCTATTTATCTGTTTCTAAGCTACGTCTATACTACAAAAAACAGGCAGTAGTTATTTTTCTTATCTCATAAGGCTCCTCTTTTCTGTCCATGACCTTAATTGTGAAGGTATCAAGAAAAATGAAAGTTGCTTTAAACACGTGCTTTAATAGTGAATATACGTAAATGTATATAATTCAACTTCCCACACCTAACACTGGTATGGTGAAGCAGGAGCAGATGTGTATCTAAAATTTACTTTGCCAGTGACCTGGGAGGTCAAGGAGGAGATGCACAGGATGTTGTTATTCACCACTAGTGTGAGACAGATTTTTTTGCCTCAAGGGAATGTGGGTACAGTGTTACAAGTTTTTCAGCACAAAACATAGCTCCTGTAAGTTTTACCTTGCCTTTTCTTTTAAATTTTCACATGAAAATAGTATTTTATTTTTACTTGAGATCTCTCTTTCTTATAACTTCTATATAGTTTAGAAAGCTTCCATTCAATTTTTTTCCTACTGTCTATCTTATTTTGCCAAGTGTTATCTTCCCAATGAAACTCTTTGGCCTGCTTATTCACTTTTATCCTTTTGCCTATTGTGTTGGTTTGGGGTTGTTTTGTCTGGTGTTTTTTATGTTTGGTTTTTGTTTTTATTTTTCTACTTTTGAGGTTGTATTTCTTTCTTCCTGCCCCTTCTGGGCAAGCTCGACCACAGTAGCTATATAGAAATTGACACACAATTTTGAGATTTGGCCAAGGGCAGAAAAAATTATGGATTTGACAAGTTTTTCAAGACTAAACTGAATTAGAGAGCAATGAATTAAGAAATGAGGATGGATTGTAGGGCCCTGGAATTTAAATGGTTTCTCGTTTCTTTATAGAAAATATTCAAAAACAGAAATAAGAAACACATATGGAGGGGTTTTTTTAATGTGTGTCTATAACTGAATTCTCACTCTCTCCCCTCACTCATGGTTGTATCTTCAAATTTTCTGATGAATATTGGTCAGATCTACTCACATGTGTTTGTGTAATTTAGCAATAACTGCTACATTCACTGTGAGCTTCATTGCTTGATGTCAACAGATACAATCACTAGTTTTAGCAACAGTAAGACACGCTGAAAGGAGGACTGAGTTGCATATCATCAAGCAGGAAGTATCTATCTTTTTGCTTTTATTCCTTTTTAAAGAGTACCTTGCTGTCATGAATTGCAGAACCTTGATTGGTTTTGAGGGTTCTTCATTATCTCGCAAATTAGTTTAACGCCGTTTGGTGACTTCTGAGCTGCCATTCTAATATTAGTAATAGATCTCTGTTGCATTGTCTAGAAATACAAAACATTAACCAGCAGCTCCTTGACAGGTGGAGTAGGAAAGCTTACAGGTATGTGCCCAGCTATTCTACTGGGCACCGTGAAGTGTGTGTCTCACCAGATGAAAGTGAAATTATAGTACAGGTAGACATACCCCCATTAGTCTTTGTCCTGTTTATCTGACAAAGAACAGTGATGAAGATTTGGTAATTTGTGCTAACAGCTGAGCACCCAGAAACCCATAGGATTTCAAACTATACAGAAATCCATTGCGTGTAAAACCTCCCTTTTACTACTGTTATCAGGGTAAACGAGACTGTGTGCTTAACTGGAATGCAGTCATACTTGCATTGATATAATATACCTTAGTCCTTATTTGGGGTAGCTGGATGGATTTTTCATACATTTTACGTGATTTGCCTCCTACTAGCTAAAATAATCTAAAACTCATAGAAAGTCGTAGAAACAGAAAGGTAGGCTCACAAGTGGAGAAGGCAAAGGGAACACAACAGTTTAAACAAAACTTTCCCTCTATTATGCTCAGCGGTTTGGATACACAACCTATTAAAACTGATTCTGATTTAGTGAAAAGGAGTATACTCTAAGCAAAAAGTAAACTTTGCTTGTCAGTATGTACATTGAAATAAAAATGAGGTGGAAAAGGAAAGGTGACTGAAATGTCCATTGCATCTTTTGTGGTAAATTGTTTTTCAATTTAAGTTCTGTGCTTAAGAGAATGTTTAATGTTCCATTGCAAATTTAAAATCAAAATATTCTGGTTTCCATAAAAATTACTCAAAGTCATTTTAATAAATTTTAAAAAGGTTAAAATTGTTCCATGAGCTATCCTGTGAATAGCAGTTATACTGACCATTTTGTAGCTGTATGTTTTGTTAATATGTAAAAAAAGAGATTAATATTTATATTGTCCCTTGCTTTCATACACTGCTAATTCTCCATATGACACTCTTCTGTTATTACTTGCCTTTTGATGCAGTAACATCTGGGAACGTCCTTCTAGACCCTTTTCCCGAGATGTCATCGTTCGCTGGTTCAAAGAAGAGCAGATCCCTCGACGTGCTGGGTTTGAGAGGAACACCAACAGGGTTGCTCAATGGTTTCATGGTAATACAGTGAACCTTCATGTCTTACATAATAAAGCTCTAAGTGTACACTCAGAAAATAAATCTTGCCAGCTTTCATCACAAAAAGGAACATCTACTGGTATTGTGAAACATAGTGCCTGTTAAAACAAGATTTTTTCATCACTCCTATTATCAATATAAGATTTTCCTGTTTTCTTTTTTCTGATTAAGAAGACTAATTTGTGACTCATATCACCAAAGTTTTGTTCAGGAATGTTTTGGCCAATATAAACTTGCTGTAATAAAAGCAAGCCAAGCAGGAGGAATGAGACCAAGACAGGGTGAGGAGGACCCAAAATAAACTGCCAAATACCGTAGTGATGTGGTATGTGGATGACTGATATTCAAGTTTTTGCTTCACCTGATTTGCAAGAAGGAGTTGAACTCTGGTCTGTTTAATCCCTGTTATACATTCTAAATTGGGGTAGCATTTTTTCTTTCTTGCTTTCTTTTGCAAACAAAAATTATTGAAAGATCTTCATTTTTCTCGGAAAGACTAGGGAGTATATGATTTTAGGCAGTTTTCATGAAATGGGAAAGACAATTCCTGTTCAGATCCATAATTTGCTGTCATATCTGCTAGAGTTCTAGCGTCTCTGAGGCTTTTGCTCTGTATAGCATTTGCTATGCAGCTGAATCTGATATCAAATTCACAGATAAGATGTCTTATTTTCGTAGGTACTAGCAATGATCTTTATATTTGTTATACTTAACAGGAAAAATATAATTCTGGCTTAATAGCTGACATAAGTGAGGGACTGGAAAGTCTTTAAAGTTAATCTCAATATTTTTTCATTGCTGCTTTTGGTGAGTCTGATGGTTTTTTGTTCAAAGCACTAAGTTGACCCTGATCCTGTTTTCATGATTCTCTAAGCATAAGATGAAGATGTGTGGGTGTTCTAAACTGAATTAGGCAAGGAAGATTTCTGAACAAGTTTAGTATATCATATATTTTCAGATTTCTTTTTATAATACACAAATCTTTATGTGTTAAAAGACATCAGCAAGCTGCTATTTTCATCGGCTTAATTAGCCAAAGACACTGAAGTCAGTCATGAACAGCTTGTACATGCTACATACTTCCGTTTCTTATGAACAATGATGCAGACAGGGTTTTGGTTTTCTTACAAAAGACATTTGGTGTGGTTTCTTTCTGAGAGACAAACTGATTAAAATTTCATCTGTGGATGTTTTTCGAAAGTGTTTTCAACCATGATCTTTCTGTCCAATGGTAAATGTTTTCCCTGATTGTGGGAAGTTCTCATTCATATGAACAGACATGAGTAGTTATGAACATAATTCGTACCTTAAATGAAGGCGGCATCTGGGCTTGAGTGAATACCTATGCAGTCTTTGTACTGACTTCAGTGGCTGAATTCAGAACATGCTTTGCCAAGGTCTCAGTTGCTGGTGCACTTTGAAAGCTGAGAAGTAATCTGGTGTTTAGGATGGAAGGCCTGTCTCTCAAAAGGGCTAGAAAGAAAGGACACACTTATTGTTCTGGCCAAGTTTAGCTCTGAACTGGAATTTTCTTTTCAAACCTCTGTGCAACCCATGCCAAGTAAAGAGGAAGTTACCAGCCTTCCCTGTATGTTGAAGAGTTTTGCCAAACTCTGTCACAGGCGCTAGCAAATTGTAATTTTCAGTTTACTGCAGGCATGAGACACTGGCAATAGAATTCCATGTGGCACCAAAACTAGAGGCCTCTTCCTCCCACAAGTATTTAACAAAACGGTGCTGATGTCCCAAACATAATCTTTCCCTTTGTTTGCTCTGTCTTTCATTTGTCCTTTAACCTTTCTCTTTTGCTTGAAATCTGTTTCAGCATTGTTTTTTTTCTATTCCCACTGGCTTATCAGCTGTTATTTTTGATATTTTAAAATTATTTTTTTGCTTAAGGTGTTAGACTTTTCCCTCTCACAGATGTTAGACTTTTCACTCTCACATATTCTATTCTGCATTTTGTTATTTTCCATTCAGAACGTAGGAGAGTGGTGCCGTTTGCAGGGCGGGCTAATCTCTAAATATGTCCCCAGCTTTAGTTAATACCAATGTTTTATGATTGTTGATGGTTTTTATCCACGATTTAAAAGGGATCTCTCAGATGTATAGTGAGTATAATATGGTATGACAAGATGAGGAATTTATTCATCGCCTGTCTGTGAGGTGGCTGTATGGATGTTTGCTAAGCATCTACTGTAGCACTATCAGATCTCTACTTGCCTTCAGCCTGAAAGTTCAGAGGCTGATATCACAGATCTGGAAACAGGAGGTAGTTGCCCTGAAGGCTGTACCTTTAAAATGTAATTGCAGTAGCGTGGTTCCTATTGTGGAGAACTATTTTATCAAGGGAAGCCAGGGTGGCAGTGCAGTTACGGTTTAAGGGAGTGGCAAGCTGTGAAGAAGCTGATCAGAACAAGCGGAAGGACAGATTGGAAAATGCTGAGAGAAGCAGAAATTCAGTAATCCCTGAGGTCAGGGGAGCGAGGAAAGACAATTTTCAGTTTAACAGGATCATGTTGCAAATGTTTATAGATCAAGGTTTAATTTCAGATGGCTAATATTGTTTTCAGGAAGAAACTTGTTTTCAAGACAAAAATCTAGCAGACCTAAATAGTGACAATTGTTCTGCAAATCAGGTGCTCTCAGTAAAGGATTTAAGACTTAATATTTCTGAAAAATCTACTAATTTTGAGTCCTTGAACAGCAGCTGCAATACTGGGCATATTGGTATGGCTGAACTGTGGGAAATATACCTTATAAAATATAGCTTGTATTGTAATGTTTTCTAAGAGACACAGAAACGGCAGTGGTTTGGTTTGAAAAACATCTAACAGTGAATACAGTTTGCTGCTTTCAGCATGAAAGCACACTTTTCTTTCTTCTCTTGAAGAAGAACCTTCCAATCATTCAATAAACGCATGTTAAAAAAGATGTAATGCAAGTGTTGTAAATCCAGCAGAAGCACAGACTTCTTGATCAGTTTTCTAATTCACTGCTTTATCGTTATCTAGCTTTTACTTTTACTTGAGAAAGTACACAGTTTTTCTGCTTAAGGAAATTGAGCTCCAGGGGTCTGGGATGTTTGTTTGGGTTTTTTTTCTGTTCTAGAATTGTTGTTGATGAGGTACTTTGTTTGGAAAAAGATAAAAGATCTTGTTACAAATCTCCTGAATTCATTGAGAGCTTTTTCACTGTCTTCCACAGGCCTTGAAAGACACATCCAAAAAATAGCTATATGCAAAACTTGGTATCTAAAACATCCTGGAATGGAATCAGAGAATTCCTGATTCAAATAAGAAAAGCTAAAATAAAAGTTATCAGTTACAATGTACCTGTTATCTTGCACACATTTGCAGGACAGCTCTGAGTCTCTAATTTATGCAAGTAAATGATAAAGGAAAGTGTGAGATTAAAAGAGACTTACAGAATATCAAAATTTATTTTGAACAGTTCTCTGGGAAAGATTAAAAAAAAAGACTTCTTCATTTAGAAGAGACTGTCTTACTCTCTTTATCAAAAAGGTAGATTTCTGTTTTCTACTCTGCCAGTCTGTTCTCAAAGAGAGGGCTGACACAGTTGTGATCAGCAGTTTGATTATCTGTAGATTTTGTGGCTTGCGACTCCTGCGCAGATATACCCACGTCAACACAGGCTGATAGCTATTGCCACCTGGTTGATTGTGTAAAACAAGTAATGCCACAGCCATTTAGCATTAGTCATCATTCCTAATCTGTGTGGATTTCTCCAAAAACGCTGTTAGGAATAAGCGTTACCTTTGCTGGGAATCTTGGTGGGAAGAACAGATATGGAAGAAGTTTGGACGCCAAATTGTGCTCTCATCACATAATCCTATGTTAGCAAAGGGGTTGAGGCATACTGCTAGGCCTGAGTGGGGAGGCATGCACTGCTGTCACCTCTGTTGTCTCTATTTTATGGTTAAACTGAACACATTAGTTTCTGAAGCTGCTTAGTCCTATGCTTTTCATCGCTCTTGAATCAGACACGGAGATGAATGATAGCCACATCACAATGGTTATGCAGGGTGAATGAGAGACCTCTGTTGTATCATGTGCAGGGGGTGCTAAACACTGAAAGAGAAGTCAGGCTGGAAAATCTGTGTCTAGCATTTGAAAGACTGATGATAGGCTCACTGTGGTTTTGCACTGTGGCCTTTAAATAGTAACAATACTGTAATTTATCTTTTATTTGAAATAATTATAATTATAAAGCAGTGATGTTTAAACCCCATACATACAGGTTTTATATAGGCACTATACATGAAGCAGTTTCTCCTTGCAGTTTGATGTATGTTCTCTATATGTGTGGATTTGCACATAACTGTTAGAGCCATGCTCATAGAATCATAGAGTCATTGAGGTTGGAAAAGACCTTTGAGATCATCAAGTCCAACCATCAACGCTACTCTACCAAGTACACCCCTAAACCGTATCTCCAAGCATCACATCTAAACGACCTTTAAACACATTAAGGGGTGGGAACTCAGCCACCTCCCTGGGCAGCCTATTCCAATGCCTGACAACCCTTTCAGTGAAAAAATTTTCCTAATGTCTAGCCTAAACCTTCCCTGGTGCAGCTTGAGTCTGTTCCCTCTTGTTCTGTCATTAATCACCTATGAGAAGAGACCAGCACCTGCCTCTCTACAGTGTCCTCTCAGGTAGCTGTAGAGAGGGACAAGGTCTCCCCTCAGCCTCCCTTTCTTAAGACTAGATAGCCCCAGTTCCCTCAGCTGCTCTTCATAAGACTTATTCTCCAGGCCTTTCACCATCTTTGTTGCCCTTCTCTGCACTCTCTCCAGCACCTCAATATGTCATCTGTTTATTCACTGTGAGATGGAACACTATTTTTTGTATTTTCAGAACACTCCTATTGAACATCTACTGGATGTTCCGAAACATTTCTCAAAGGTAGTACAGTATTTGGAGTTAAGTGTTTAGATCCTACAGTAGATTCTGCTAC